AAGCTATAGAAGATGCATTCACTGATTGCTTTAGCTTCAGCAAGTTGAAAAGTGACAGCATAAAAGACCTTATCTCTTGCCTAGCATGCTGTCTGTAGAGGCTAAATATGGTCAGTTTTAAACACTGAACACCACAAACTAGAAGTAACAGATCAGATAATTAGATTCTTTACACTGACCAGAATGCATTTTCTCGTTGCTGGAGAAAATGCGTCTGATCAAAAAAAAAAAAAAAAAAAGAGGAAAAATGAAGTTCTTGAAGTTGAGAGAGACGTTCGACTTAACTCTCATAATGTTGACTCAGCGAACAAGGTTTTATTTAATGTTATTGCGCATTCCTCACACTGTGTTGTTCCTGTGATTTTACTATTAATTGTATTGTTCACATTGTTACGAATTTCCCGTTAACAATTGTGATTTCATTGTCTGGTTGTGTTTGTGGCTGTATCTATGTTTGCCAATCAAATCTCAATGCCATGTGTGCATGTATGCCCATTTTATCATCGTATATATACTGTTCTTTTAGTAGACTTATTCACTTGCTTTATAGCCGAGTTTCATATAAGTTGCAGTTCTCTCCAACCTTAATGCATATGCTGTGTTTTTCATGTTGCTTTTCGCTTTCGTGAAAATAAATGCCTTAATTGCTTGTAAAAGTAGACGTTGATTGCGCAAGTCAACAAGATAACGGTTGTCGATACCTTAAGTGCATTAGGACGTCACGGAGAACACTGCGGCATCAAAGTGAAGCTGCACGTTTTTTGCTTTGGTGTCAAGCTCACGACAAGTCACTGATTCTCTATCTTCTAAGCTTCATAGCTGTATACTACGAAGTGAATAGAAAACACTAGTTTTCATTGTCAAGACGTGCTTTGCTGCATGACGCCATAATTGTGACAGGTAGACTTTGTTATAATCCGCTGGGTAGCGTGAAATATTTGGAACGAAAAAGCGCGCGTGTGCGAGGAGGGCCATTTCGAAAGCGACCGCAGCGCTGCTGCATCTAGATGAATTCTCGCTTGCTCTTTGGCGCGCCGATGCTGACACTTTTTCTTATAGCCACCATAGCCGCGCCTTGAAACAACGTTTCTAGACTATGTAAGTTGCAAAACTCCCCGCGTCAGACTACTCAGCACACGGCGCCGGGACAGCTTCTGGTTTGGTGGCACTGGCGACGCAACAAGCTTCCGCTAGCAGACGAAAACGCGTAGTCGTCGTGGCAAGACGCCGAGGCGGCCGTTCTGAAAGAGCTTTGCCAACAGTATATTATCGAGATTTGTTGTGCTGCCGCAGAAACTTAATACTGCGTAATATTTAGCGGTGTAAGGCAAAAATAGTATAATTATGGCTTTCTGAACAGCCCACAATAAACAATGCTTGATATATATAGCATAACATACACGAGTCTTTCGCTATTTGCTAGTTGGTGTACGTTCGCAATAGATTTTTAGACGCGAAAAACCCAATTACAGTGTCTTGAATTGTCTCTTTTGGCTGTGTTTTTCGTGCTTAAAAATAACTTACAACTATGTGGCACAATCTCGTGACTTTTGTCTGGTTATGTAAACAGCTTTTTTTTTTTTCATGTCAGTCACACTCTTTAGCAACTTAGACAGTCGAAAAGCTACGCGTGCGGCCATTATCTTATAAATGTCTTCCCTCTGCTTCTTTTTGAGTTCCTCTAATGAAACCTGTTAACACAGCTGCAGACAAAGCTTCGAGCAGAGACCGCACTTTGGGTATCGGTGAGCACTTCGTAGTCATCACTTCACGAGTCTGCCTGCTGACGCACTGTGGACATTATGAACACACTTTCAGCTTTTCTGTATCCCCCGAAGTTCGGCCAATTGGGTGATGGTATTTGCATTGCCGGGCGACTTCGCCAAGCGATGGTGACGGCGCTAATGGTGACGGTCATGTCTTCTGCGACATTTCTCCACAAATGGCGCTTTTGTTTGAGCACTAGAAACACCACATGACGACTTGCCTTGCCATTATCAACAACTTTCCACCAGCATGCAGCTGGCAAACAAACGTTTTCTATGTCTTGAAGCGAAATGACGCCACTAGTTGACGGCATGTCGGGACTTATTTCACTGTCTTCGAACTCAGTTCTCGGAGATAGTCTATTCTTTTTCGCCGATGATATTCAGTAAAATACCCCACTCCTATCGGGCAGCTTTCGCTTCTTTGTCGCGGGCCCCGCGAAGAAGGTAAGCGGGTAAATTCGGGTACACATCCTGTCGACGAGGTCCCACTTTCCTCTGGCGATTTGTACCTTCTTACCTATGAATGTGAGCGAAAGCCTTCAGGATGTCCTCCTCATGAAAGTGCTATCACACACACGTGAGGTGCTAGGAAGTTTTTTATCCGCACAAGAAATAGCGTGGTCCCATACTCTCGCTGCTCAGGTACACGTGGGTACAAAAGAAATGTTGTGGTGTCTCTCATTTCCTGTAGCTACTCTACAGCCGAGAACGCAACATCTGGGCATGATGAAAACACGCAACACATACAAAGCAGAACAGGGCACGCTGAAGCACAAAACTGTTCACGCAGAAAGAAGCCTCCACCGATATCGACGCACTGCAACATGCACAGGCGATTGAGGTTACGGGAATGACACAAGCGAGCATGCAGTGAGTGTATCCGGATGCGACAGCAGCGCCACATTTGTCGCTGGCAGCGGCGGCGCCGCGCAACGCCACTCAGTTTTGCAACTTACCTAGTTCTAGAAACGTTGCCTTGAAAGGAGGCGTGCTGGTATTTCATCTCGCCGCGGAGCGACGCGCAGTCGCCTCCGTGATCGGTCGAGAGCGCTGCCAGCCGATAGCTGGCAAGTGGTAGGTGTTTTGTGGCGGCACTTTTAGTCGCTTGCTCGTGGTGCTCGCAAGTTGCAACGTCTGCGCTTTGCCTATTTCGACTTGTTCGGGATCAATACGTGTCAATGTGACCATGCAACAGTGATCGAGTAACAGCAAAGACGCTGCTTTGCACCTGGATGCAATGCGGCATATGCTTCGGCCCGCAAACAAGGGAAGAAAGCGTTCTATTCTCTGCTCCACCCGACAATGAACAGATCAAGGCCTGGGAGCGTACGATTTCTCGCGCTGACAACCACTGGAAAAGAACTGCGTTGTGTGTGAAGCTCATTTCGACGAATAGTCATCGTCCGTAGCTACAAGCATGTTATCAACGGGTTCTTAGCAACTTGGGAAAAAGCTGTACCTAAGGAGAGTGGGTTCCGGAGTGAATCAACTGCCGAAGGACTCCGCGTCACTCTAAGCAGTACCCTGTTTTATCCGGCACTATGTCACGAAAACCTTGGGCTAGAAACAATTGATGACGTCTCGCCTCTTCCACGGCGCACGTAAAATCTTTTGTGGAATTCTGAAGCAAATGTTTGGCTCGAATGACCACCCTTCGCTGACACAATTTTTATCTCTGTGACTTGCCTCAGTTTTTACAGTTGGCACAGCCACTCCAGTGGCACAATATACCTTCTGGAGTTCCGAGCTGCCTTCTATGCCTGAGCATCCACAATAATTCAATAAAATTGCAGAATAAGCTGGACGAGCTGCTAGATGTGGCGCGTCTCAGTGAGGTTCATTAAATTGTATATTTGCTTGTGAAGCCCTCCCTGACTCCACTGATCTCATTGGACGCAAAAGTGAGTCCCGGATAACTTAGTACGTCATAGGCTATGTGGCCCGGAAGATGGTGAAAAAGACGAAGTGATGAATGTAGCACGTTGCTGCTTCACTCAGAATTCCAGCTTGATTCCAGCAGAATCATGCTTTCTGTACCCGCCCGAGTGCTTAGCAGACCTGGCGAAAGCTATGGAAGATGCACTCACCTATTGCTTCAGTTTCAACAAGTTGAAAAGTGACAGCATAACAGACCTTATCTCACGGAGGAAGGTTTCCTTCCTCCGTGCCTTATCTCTTGCCTGTCTGTGAAGAGGTTAAATTTGGTGGCTGTGAACACGCCAAACTGGAAGTGACGAATCAGATAATTAGATTTTTTACACTGACCAGAATGCATTTTTTCTTGCTGAAGAAAATGCGTCCAATCAAAAAAAAAAGAGAGAGAAAACGAAGTTCTTGAAGTTGAGACGTCTAACTTACCTGTCACAGTATTAACTTAGCGAACAAAGTTTTATTTTATGTTATTTCGCATTACTCACACTCTGTTCTTTCTTGGGATTTTACTATTGTCTTGTTCACATTGTTATAAATCCCCCATTAACAACTGTGATATCACTGTCTGGCTGTGTTAACATATGCAGAAATCATTTTTTTGTGAACTGGTTTGTGACTGTATCTATTTTGTCAATGAAATCTCAATGTCATGTGTGTATGTATATGCCAATTGTATCCTCGTATATTTACTGTTCTCTTTAGTAGCCTTATTCACTTGCTTTAGCTGAGTTTCATATAACTTGCAGTTTTTTTTACCCTAATGCATATGTTGTGTTTATTTTCATGTTGTTTTTCGCTTTCGAGAAATAAATGTCTTGCTGGCAAAATTAGACCTTGACTGCGCGAGTCATGAAAATAACGGTTACCGATACCTTTACGTGCATCAAGACTTCACGGAGAACACTGCGGTATCAAATTTGAAAACTGCACGGACTTTGTTTTAGTGTCAAGCTCACGGCAAGTCACTTGATTCTCTATATTCTAAGCTTCGTAGATGATATACTAAGAAGCGAAATGTAAACACTAGTTTTCAGTGCCAATACACGCTTTGCAGCACGCCGCCAGAATTGTGACAGGTAGACTTTGTTACAATCCACAGGGTAGCGTGAAATATTTGCAACGAATAACGAACGATATGTGTGAGGAGGGGCATCTCGAAATAGGGTGCCTGAATGGTTTCCCTCGCCCGCCGCTCCGGCGGGCGAGGGAAACCATTCAGGCACCCTATCTCGAAAACGACCGCAGCGCCGCCGCATCCGGATGAATTCTCGCGTGCTCTCCGGCGCGCCGATGCTGACACCTCTCCTTCTAGCCACCATAACCGCGGGCAAATGAAAGTGGGCGTTTTAGCTGCACCTGTGTTCTCGGTGTGCTTGTGTGATAAGTGAGCTTACGGAAGCTCATTACGCCGCGTTTCACTGGTTTGGCATAACGCTACTACGGCGTTCTTTGCGGCATCGTCATGTACAACTCCATTTCGCTGTCACATGGAGGAGACTCTATCGAGTTGGTTCCGTTCGGTAAGATGGGAGCATTTCTCAACCTGCCTTGTGCGCTTAGCTGTGTACTACATGTTGGTGTTTCTTCGCGTAAGTACCCATAACCGAATCCGACAAGGGAAACAGCTGGGGAGCTATTCTAAACGTGGACATCTAATTGACATATCCGTTTCGGTGAGGAGCGCATTCACTGACCCCAGAAAGCGGTGATGTGATCTCGCGCTTGAGCTCATCGATCCGCCGAACTACGGTCGGATATAACGTAAGTCTTGAGAGGCGTCTACCAGATGACTGAAGCGCAGCAGCCAATCGCTTCTGCGACTAAAGAAATAGTCGCGCTCATGCAATGCTCCCCGGAGGCGAAGTCACCGGCAGTTCGGCGTCTAACGTGAGCCTGGAGTGCGCGCCCATTGGTGCAGGCATGTAGGCATCCGTCTTTGAGTAGGAAGTGCCGCGAGCTTCGTAAGATTTATCCGTCGGGAGTGGAGACATCCTTAGATGAAATCATGTTTGCAGAGCGTTAGAAAACGAGTAGTTACAGTGCAACTAGAAATAATCGCGGTCAGGAAAGAGCGCTGACTAACAAATTGTATTAGCGAAAACACTAGAAATGTATACACACGATAGCAAGCAGCCCACCATAGTACAACCACACAACGTATTGCATTACATGTTAATAGGGGTTTCGGCGCAAGCACGAAAGTGCTGGAAAAAAAGCGTACGAAAGGCAAAGGGTGGGCCTACCTTTCGTCCCTCGCCTTCCCTGCACCTTTTTTCCAGCACTTTCGTGCTTGCGCAACCCCTATCAACATGGAACTGGACAAACTAGCCTAAGTAGCCGTTCTTATTCATTGTGCTACAGCCAGATACTTGATGTCTTGTTAAGTGAGAACAGCAGCACACTTCAGCACAACTTTACAATCTATTGCGTCGCTGCCAGATGCTCAATTCTTTTTTAGTGTGTGTGCGCAACTGAAGGCATGCTAACGCAGGGGTCTTCCAGCAGTTGCATCTTATTAGCCTAGATGATCTCGTGTGTTACCTGCTGACTATGTTTTGTGACAACAGTGCACTTTTCAAATTCTGGTTTGCAACCACAATATCTACAATGAATGCTCATATGGCCTTGAACATCAGTGTTTACACGATAGTGATGCTCCTTTAAATGCTCATTCAAGCACCTGTCCGTTTGCCTCGCGTGCTTCTTGCCACAGGACAAAGGATTAGGTAAACAACAGCCACAGCACATGCCAATTGTCTCCTATATTTGGTTGCAGTAGCTCCTTTGTGCAGACTGAGCATGTGTTCACACAATCTGGGGCAGAGAAAACAACCTTGATGTCAATTTTATCACGCATCTTTTTCAAATTGTGTGAAATCTTTTGTAGGTAGGGGAGCACCATGACACTCTTTGAGTCGCCTGTCCAAGTACGATACTCGTCTTTTCCTTTCTCTAGGCTCGTATTTCCAGCATAGGTGATCGCACGAGATGTATAAAACCTTAACAAGGCATCCTGCAGCAGCTCATGTGTCGAAAATTACAGGTGCCATACACTTGTCGAAATGGCAGCTTCCAAGTCCTTATCATCGCAGTAACAAAGCATGAGAAAATCTACAAAACATGAGACCTGTACAACAGCCTTTTTGTCAAGGGGGCTAGCCAAGGTTCGGTCATGGTAAGCGAGAAAAATGTCACAAAAGAAAAAACTGCCAGGCCTGCAGGAGACGCACAGTGCTGTCAGAGCGAAAACTGGAAGCTGCCTTTCAAAGCCCTTTTTTTAACATTCTTCAGGTAACTACTAAAAGCACACTTGCAGGGTACCCACTACGTCATAAATCATTGTGTAGTAGGCAGGAATTCACTATGCGATCTTTCGTCATTCTTTGTAGAAGCGTGGTACATACGGCAAGGAACTTTGTGCAATTTTTTTGTGCTTTGGCTGATGACTATGATGAATTACTCCAAAATCTTTTGTAATCCTCACAACCCCCTACAGCGGAGTATGCGCCACAGTTAATAGGTGAATGAGATCAAGCTTTTGCAATGGGTTTGAGCAATTGAGGACCCACTCATTGCACAATTCGCGTTGTGTGACACCTGGTTGTGTCTTTGCTGCTCTAAAGTGCTTTATTACTCTTGTTAATGGGAATCCTTTCTCAAAGTCAAGCCTGCCTAAGGCCAGTTTGCATTAGAGTTTCAAGCATCGGTGTGGCTCAGTGATAAAATGCAGGGCTTTATTTAGTTTTTTATTCTTATTTCGTGCTATAGTGGTTGTGGACACTCAGCAGCAGACAACTACAGCGCACGCGACCCTTGTTGTGATCTTGTGAGAGCTTTCGCTGTCACGAAATAGAATCAAGAAATAGAATGTCCTGGCTGTGATGCAATCGATTGAGAGGTTGTGTTGAGGTGTGCTCCATTAAAGGGGCCCTGCCACACTTCTTGAGCATGGCCAGAAAATGGTGCCGATCGGTACTAAAGGCTCTTGAGAACACTCGAGCCAAATAATATAGTGGAGCACGGGGCCTGGAATTCACAATGAATTATGAAATCGCTTTCTCTTCTCTCGACAAATGACGGAAGACGCTCAAAAATCACTCGTAGAAGGCCATCTATTATCCACCTGCTCATTTGAACATGGCGCGCCCGATCGTTACAGGGATCACCACCAGAGGCTGAATCTTGCCTATGCGTGTACTCGCGATCGCACTAAAAAAGCAGTGTATTTGAAGAAAAAAAAAATGGGGCTCAAGGTCACGAGACGCGCGTGATGTATCTTCTTTAATCCTGCCATCTTTTTCGGCTTAGCTTACAGCACTTTCGTCGAGATGAGAGAACAGGGAATGCCATTGCAGCGAACGACAAATCTTTGTAACCCCGCTCGTACTGGACAGCTTCTTAAAATTTTTGCAGTGTTGAATTTGTGAGACAATAAGCTATGTTAATACATTCTATGTTTACTTGAAAAAGTGTTTCAGGGCCCCTTTAACAAGGCATCAAGTATCTGGCTTTAATGCAATTGGTTGTGCTATTGTACTGTGGTGTGCTGCTTGCTATCATGTGTGTATATTTCTAGCGTTTTCACTAATAAAATTTAGTTGGAGTCAGTGCTCTTTTCTGTCCATGCTTCTTCCTACTGTAGTTACGCTGTAACTACTCGTTTTCTTGCACTGTGCAAATATGTTCTATAAATACTTGTTTTCGTGCATTGTGCAAATATGTTCTGTAACTACTCGTTTTCTTGCACTGTGCAAATATGTTGATTCCAAATCGCCAACTAGCCCAAGCATCTGTCTTATCCTTAGGCGGGGCTCATGCTGCCACAACTGGTTTTTGGGTCTTTGTCTGCCATTTTCATGCTTGGCTCGCATGTCGAGGTGGGACTGTAGTCAGCAGGAATTTGTTGCGAGTGTCAGTTGGGCGTTTACCGAGTGTGGTTGGTTTACATGCCCCGTGATTATTCAAAAAATTCCAAGAAGGGTTAAATTTTCGTGTTTCGTGAGATAGAAAAATTTTCTGAAGATTAAGTCCGACCGGTGGCAACTTAGAAAAAAGCGTTATATATATTACCGAAGAAGCACCGGTTTGTGTCATCACTGGTTTATCTGCTTCATCATTCTCAAGGTGTATGCCAGTGGAAGGTTCATCTCCTGCTCCCAAGGCCACTTTGTGTAAACATGTCAATCCAAGGCAAACTGATGCCTTGCTAGCTTTATTAATGAAGCACAAAACTTGCTTTGACGTTTGTTCCGAAGGTCTGGTCAAACAACAGTGGCCGCTCATTGTATCGACACCGACAGATCCAGTGTTATTTGCCGCCGCTCTTACCGTGTGTCAGCTTCTGAATGCAAGCTTATAGAAGAACAAGTCAATGACATGCTCGCGATATGTCATCAGGCCTTCGACAAGCGCATGGTCTTCTCCTGTGGTACTAGGAAAAAAAAAAAAAAGAATGGCTCGGTACGGTTTTGCATTGATTACAGACCACTCAACAAAATTACTCGTAAGGACGTCTACCCAATGCCTCGCATTGACGACGCTCTTGATACTTTACAAGGTGCCGAGTACTTTTCAAGTCTCGACTTGCGCTCTGGTTACTGGCCTCGGTGGACCTTCTTACTCCTGCTTGGTCCTTATAGGACTGCAGTATGTAATAAAAAAAAAAAATTTGATGCACGAGTCTGATAAAGAGAAGACTGCGTTTGCTACGCCAGAACTGCTCTTTGAATTCAATGTGATGCTTTTTGGCCTATGCAACGCCCCAGCCACATTTGAACGAATGATAGACACGGTACTGCGGGGATTAGAATGGAATGACCTGCTTTTGCTACTTGGACAACATTGTTATCTTTTCGTCCAGCTTCTCACAGCACCTGGAACGGCTAGACGAAGTCCTCATGTGTTTAGGTAAGGCCGGTCTACAGCTCAACACTAAGAAGTGTCGGTTCACCAGTCACAGCATCAGGGTGTTAGGTCACGTCGTCAGTAAACATGGCGTTGAGCCCGATCCTGACAAGGTTGCCGCGGTACTGCACTTTCCTACACCAACCACACCCAAAGACCTCCGCAGCTTTCTTGGCTTGGCGCCGTATTTCCGCCGTTTAGTACGTGATTTCGCTACTATTGCGGCTATTTCGCTACTATTTCGCTACGAACTTCTGACCACGAGCGCACCCTTTGTCTGATCAGACGACTGCGAAGCCGCTTTGCACAATTTCAAGCGATGCCTTGCATCACGGCCAGTGCTTCGCCATTTCGACCCTGCAGCGCCTACTGTGCTACACACCGACTCAAGTGGACTTGGCATCGGTGCTGTTCTCCTTCAGCGGAACCACGCTTTTGAAGTAAAAGTTGTGGCCTATGCGAGCCGTACTCTTTCACCTGCTGAGCGAAATTACAGTATCACTAAGCAAGAATGTCTCGCCATCGTGTGATCCGTACAAAAGTTTCATCCTTATTTATACGGCCGGCATTTCACAATAGTGACTGACCATCATGCTCTGTGTTGGTTATCGTCTCT